AAAATAGTTTTTAACAACTATTTCATCTTAAGCAACTAGGCTACAAAGAAAGTCAAATGTACAGGCAAATCAGTAATGCCAATACAATATGTCTTGTATATTACTGTTAATAGGAAAGACAAACTCCTGCACGTTTGCTTGTACGCTATCTGATAAAGAGTGGGTTTAATTTCTACCTTTGAACATCAAAATGTGACATTAATCGCTTTAAAAAAGCGGTGACCATTGTGAAGATGAGATAATTTCATTAATTTGTAAGGTATAAATATAATGATTAGTTAACACTAAATTTTCAATAAAAAAGCCTCTAATAATCTATTCTCTTTTAAATATGATTTTTAAATATGAGGGTTTAACTTTTTGAAAAAAAGCGTCTTTTACATATATTTTTCACTTAGGAATCTGCTCAAAACTGCTTAAACAGGCGATTACTAATTGTTATCTGAAATTAAGACAACCCAAATGCTATTGATTTTATACAAGTAAAAGAGAGCAAAACAAGATGTGTTTGTTAAACAATGATGCCCCCGTATGGCAACAAAGTGAAGATTAAACTTTTCTTAAATGCAAATCTAATATATTGGTACCTAAAGCAGGGTATTCTCACTGAAAATACAAATGTGAAATTTGAAAATAGGCCAAAGCTAAATTTTTTCATAAGTACGGAAATCTCCAAGGACAAAGTGAAAAGGTCAAAATAATTGGTATCCACTGAAATGTCTTGCTCCAAAGAATACATACATGTATGTGAAGTAAAGAAGACCTAGTATTTACCCTTCAAAAGTAATGGCCAAGGTAAAACATTTTAATAAGTAGGTCAAACTCCAAGATCAATGTTAAAATTCTTCATATCAAATGAAAGGTCTTGTCGCAAGGATTAAATATGAAAAGCAGTAGCCCTAATCCTTCAAAGGTTATGGTCAAGGTTTGCTTTTTAAAAGTAGGTCAAACTCCAAGGTCAAAGGGTCAAAGTTCTTGGTATCCAATGAAGGGTCTTCTCACAAGGATTACATACGTTCAATAAATAATGTCATTAGCTCGATGACATACAACATAGAAGTCATATGACATCAAGCTTGACTTTCTCTCATTATTGAATCTTTAATGAATTGATAACAGATTATGTGTCCACTTTTCATCGCATTATTTCATTGTGGGAAGCTGGAAAACAAGGGCCATTCGAGGCACTGCATTAAAAAAGAATGGTCAAGAATCAGTAAACTAGAGTAAAATTAAACGCTTCATTAAAGCAGCTGTAAAACTTGTTAATATTCCAAAAATATGTTAACTGAAATATGTAAAATTTACAGCAATCAATGTCTGCTTTATAGACACGTGAACAGGTGGATTTCAATAAACAAAAATTAAATAATGAGCATCAAAAATGGGTACTGTTCTTGGCAACAATAACTTACCACAACCGATGTAAATTTGCGAAAATTCAAAAAATTATCACTGATTATGTTTTATTGACTTATTACACATAGCAAAATTGATAAAAATCATTTTGGGGTAGTTCACACTGTCTCAAAGAAACATTTGATAGTAAAAAAGTTTAATACTCAAAGGTCAACCTATATTCTGAAAAATGAGTGAAAACGACAGCGTATATGAATATCTAAACAATTATTTTTTTAAAAACTCAAAAATTGTACTTATCCATGTTTATTTGAAATTCAAACAGATAATGAAACTTGAATCCATTTTGCTTTACACCCTCAAAACAAATTTACAATAAGATGCACTTGACGAAAGTGCAAAGGCCTAAGAAGAGCAGAGAATTGCAAGAGCACAAAAACAGTTTTATATGCTATGTTCTTAAATATTAGCGGTCTTGTTGTTCAAATTCATATTCGGGGAGGAAGTTCAATTTCTGGATTAGTCTAGAAAACTTTTTTTGCCAAAAAAAAATGAAAGGTTTATGAGAGGAAGGAAAGAGAATGAGGAATTCACTACATTAAATTTCATCATGACAGCGTCCTAACCCACCGCCCATGAAGAGTAAAGGAGTTTTGGGGATAAACAGAAAGTTAATGTTTTGTCACACCAACAAAATTTGCCAGATCTTTCAACCTTTGACTTGTTTCCTTTCCCAAACTTAGAAAAACATCTATCAGAAAGAAAAAAAAAACAAGTACAGCAAATCAAAGGATCTGCCATATTCCAGTATACGAAGGGTCATACTCAAAAATGTGTTCTAAAAACAATCAGAAATTGAATGAAAATGTTACGGACATGTGTTTTAATTAAAAGAGAATATTTTATTTAAATCATTAAGATTAAATCATAGAAAAGCGTATTTTGTTTCTTTCCTAACCCCAATGTCATTATTTATTGAACGCCCCTCGTATGTAACATATGAAAGCACTAGTCCTTACCGTTCAAAAGTTATGGCCAAGGTTAAAGGTTTTTCATAAGTACGGAAATCTCCAAGGACAAAAGGTCAAAGTTGTTGGTATCCTATGAAAGGTCTTTCCACAAAGAATACATATATGCAGTATAAAAGTCCTGGTATCTATTGCTCAAAAGATATGGCCAAATTAAAAGTGGGAAATTTTGTGTAAAAGTGGGTCAAACTCCAAGGTCAAGGTCCAAAGGACAAATTTGGTTGTACCCAAAAATAGGTCTTATCAAAAGAAATACACATGTAAAATATGAAAGTCAAAAATTCACTTATTCAAAAGTTATGGGCAGGGTTAAAGTTTTTGCGGACAAACAGACAGCTAGACAGACAGACGGACGGACATGACAAAAACTATCTATCCCCGAAACTTCGTTTATGGAGCCATGATAAAACAGATTATTTCAGTTAATATTTTGCTTTCCTGTCTATAATTCACAACAGTAAAACTGATACTCTGGTCAACTGTTTTCTGCAAATATTAATGAAGTTTGGATATTTACTTTGATTTACTATGGTTTACTTTAAGAAACTGTTGTTATAAGATAAAACTTATTACTGAGTATTCGATAATGGCGATAAGCGTATAGTGAGTGTTACTGGTAAGAAGGGAATGCTTACTCCTCCATGGCACCTGATTCCACCTCTGTTTCTTTAATAGCTCTGGGTTGGCTCTGCTTATAATTTGTAAACATGAACCTTAAAGAAGGATCACAGATTCTTACTTATTTTTTGTCTTATAATTTCTTGTAGACTTCTTTTAAAATAAAAGACAGAGAGAATCAAGAAGAATAGAACGTCTGACTTGGCAATGACTTTTGTGCCTTTTGGTCGAACAAAGAATTTCAAATTTAAGAATTTTTGAATAAAAAATGAATGGTTTTGAATAAAACGCAAAGGACTAGAATTCAGATACTCAATAAATAAACAATAAGATAAACCACCAGAACTCTTTGTCTAATTTTTATAAATTTGCTTGAGTATTTTTACATTACCAAAATCTCACACTTACTACTCGTTGCTTTGCAAAGAGGTTTGCACAAGTTACATTTGATTTCCAAACTTAAGTTATACATGTACACGGAGCAATGATTGGGTGTACGCGCTCCCCTTCTCTTTCTATATTATATCTTATGAAACACAAATTTATCAGGGAAAATTCATGATAGACTTTGTTAATGCTTAATACACGTTTTTCATCAAAGTACACAAGAAAAAAAAAATCATTTTTTGACAAAAATTAAGACGCACAATTAAATGCTGTAAATGTCATATTATCAAATTTCAGTTATGAGAAAATATTTGGATTTTCTAGGAATTTCCTTTGCTATTTTGCGTCTTGTTTACGTATTTCTAATTAGATATTTAGGAAAAGAATAATATATTGATACATTGTATATGAAGTTTATCTGATAAGGTTTTATGTTATAATTAATGGCTTAGTGTTTTATTAATATTTTAAGTACATATATCATTTCATACTACCCTTTGAAAAGAAGCTACTTATCTCTAACTTTTCATCAAAGACTTTTTTCCGGACTTCGGACAGATTTATACAAGTAAAATCAAAATATTCATGAATTGTCAAAGGATACTAACAAGACTTCATGATCTAATGTTTTTTTTAAAGAAATTTAGTCGCCATTCGGAACAAGTTTAGCATAAAGTTTTGTAAATATGATTGATTGATTGATTGAATGTTGTTTCACGTTCCGTTCGAGAATTTTCACTCATACAAACTTTACCATTTACGGTTAAAGGCTTCAAATTTAAACCTGCACTCAGACCATTGAGCAAAGAGTGTTCTTAATCGTGACAACCCCTACCGTGATACGGGGCCTCATTTAGTTTTTGTCGTGTTCGTCCGTCTGTCTAGCTGTTTGTCCGCAAAAACTTTAACCCTGTCCATTACTTTTGATTTAGTGGAGCTATGACTTTCATATTTCACATGTCTTTGTGACAAGACTTTCATTTGATAGCAAGACCTTTGACCCTTTGACTTTAAACTTGGAGTTTGACCTACTTTTAAAACTTTTAACTTTGGCCATAACTTTTGAAGATTTAGGCTAGGGCTTCCATACTTCACATACGTATTTTTAGTGGCAAGACCTTTCATTGGATACCAATTACCTTGATCTTTTGACCTTGACCTTGGAGCTTTCCATACTATAAAAAAATCTTTAGTCTACTTTCATATTTCAGAATTGTATTTCCAGTGAGTTTGCATTTAAGAAAATCTTTGCTACGTTGCCATACGGGGGCATCATTGTTTCACAAACACATCTTTTTTTTTTCAAGTAAATTATTCTGATATCAAACAGATGTGTCAGACTTATATAATTTATATTGAAACAACGTAGAAAGGAAAATAAATTATTGGTATTTTAAAATCAGACTCTCGGGCATTCTTATCTTCAATTTCGAATATGTACTTTTTGCACAGTACATGTACAATCATAACATGTTTATACAAACAATTTTGCCAATATCCAAATGACATTAAATCCTTAAAACAATCAAAAGCACAAGCACATAAGAAACAAATATCAACCTGTGTAAAATAAAATTTCACTTTAAAAACATAAGCAAAGTACTTTTTAGCATGATCTTTATTAGAGAAAATGTAAATTTTTTTGTCTTTACAAAAATGTTTTCAATCAAAAAAGTCCTCTATATCTATATCAGGATCTAATAAGTGATCCTTAAAGGGAGTTAAGTCAGTCTTATTCAGAATCAGATTTTCAAAAGTTTCTTCTAGATCGGTCTCACCAATAAGAATCGCCCCCTCCATTCGTCCATTTCTTAATACAACTTTCACATATTCCAAACCTAATGAAAAACAATATTATTGATAACATTATTACAAAAATACTGTTGCATAATATTGTTTTGTTTGACTGAAAGTTATTTTCAGTTTAATATCACAACAAGTGGCCTCACTGGTCTGTCTATCACTTAGCAGTTTTATCACATGTTTCTGCTTCATAATGATATGTCCACAATTCTTTTTATTTATTTTTTTCCTCGATGTTTTGTGCAATAAGAAATTACGTAAACAACTATACCTTTTGTGACCCTAAGTAAAATTTCATAGTCTCTCCCAAGTCCTTGGGCATTGAATTTACCTAAGAGGATAACCTGAAACATTGGATGATAGCATTCAGATAACAAAAACAATATCTCTACCAGCATGGTTAAGATTAACTAACGGTAAAAACCTGGAATTCTTTATACATGCAACTTTTTGTAATACAAGTCTGTATATATTTATTTTTGCTAAATATATACTACATGTGTATTTTATTTTAAAATATCAATATAATTATGGTTAATATTTTAGCAATTTTTATATTGACTTTACCACAACATAAGTTTAAAATAATTATTTTTGTAAACAACTTGATTATTTATCAAAATGTATGTCCTTATCATGAATCTAAGTACAAGCAACCATAATTTTTTAACTGATAGTAAGCTATATGAGCAGTACTTTTTCTGTCTTTTTTTTTTTAAATTTAACATGTACAATCTGGTTTTCTTTGAAGAAAAAGAATAATATACAAACAGACGATTTTTTTTAAAAAATATTTCAAATTACAATTAAAATGATGCATTGTTATATATATTTAAAATCAAGATATAAAATTATGAAAGAAAAAACACTGTACTCTTGTCTTAAACCTCTACAGAGAACATGTAAAGACCTTCTTTAGTTCGTGGATTTTATGTAATTCCGTATCTGTGTGGAAGGGTGGGGAAAAGAAGTTTTATTAATATGTCAAAATAAAAACTGCATTATTTTTAGAAACATTAAAATTGTCGAAGTTTTCCAAGAAGACTCACTTTATAACCAAAGAATTTCGTTACGTGTGCAAAAACTTCGAAACAGAAATCCAGAGATATTGGTTGGCCCTTTATATCTGCCACCATACACTGAGCTGAGTAGGCACCCATCTGCCTGGCCTGGGACCAAAGACGCATCTGTAAAATATCAACCAGTGCCGGATAGGAAGATAAATACATATCTGTAGAAAAAAATTACATACTGGTACAGTACCAGATACTGAGATAAATATACATCTGTAAAAAATTACAAAACTGGAACCAGATACTGAGATAAATATAAGGTTATCTTCAGCAACGTAAACAAACGGTGCCGGAGAAAAAAAATCTAAATTCTTCCCACACAAGACGGAAGTATTCTAAATAATATATCTAAATGTCCTTCATTAAATTGATACCTCCCCAAAGCTAATAACTTATAAAACATTTTAAAAATAATAATTTTTAGGCTGAAAGTAAATTAGTCGTTTTGCATCATACTGCTACGTAACGGGTTATTTAAAATATCCAGTAATTCACCAAAAAAATTCTACTCAGATAAATATTGAACTTTATATAAACATCTGTAAAAAAATCGTGTGTTACAAAACTGAACCAATTTTAACCATATTTGGCACAAAGCTGAGATAAATATAAGCAATCTTTAAAAATCTTCTTCTTTATCTCATCAAACGTAAACAAACGGAAATTCATGCCCTGGGAGAAAAAAAATCTAGATTCTTCCCACACAAGACGGAAGTATTCTAAATAATATATCTAAATATCCTTCATTAAATTAATACCTCCCCAGAGCTAATAACTTATAAAACAATTTAAAAATAATAATTTTTAGGCTGAATGGCATTTTGTTGACGGGGAAGTATATTGCTTCTTCGATTCCAGTGCCATTCAAAACGTTTCACCCGTTCTAAAATGTTTTGCCGGTGAGATAATTATGTGTTAGTTTCAAAACTATTTCTCGTCACACTGCTCACGTAACGGGTTATTTAAAATATCTTCTTGTTTTGTATATATCTGTAATTCACCAAAAAAATTCTATAACACTCGGATATATTATTTTTCTTTCATGGTGATCGACAGTAATTAACAAGGATTGAACTTTATATAAACTATGTTTAAAGATCGAGGATAAACATCATTTTTTGAGTAACAAAATAATTTAACAGAGATGTGAGAATTTGTTAGTCATTTCCAATGCATTTCATCATCTAAAACAATTACTGTACAATCTTTCAGTGACCGACTTATTTGAACAAAATTATAATCCGCTGTAAATTTATTCTGACAAGAAAGCAAGCAATACTGGCAATACTGGTATATATAGACTATCAACTTATGTTGGAGTATCAAGAGAAAAACACGATACGTATGACCCATTATGGCCCACTGGCTTACAATAACAAATATTCATTTTGTATCACAATACTTAGAAGTAAACATGAAAATAGATCTGGAACTGTTGAAAATCTAACTAGATATAATCTGGACTTCATTAGCTGGATTGTTTCATTCAAGAGCTATATGCAGAAGCGATTAAATTCCAACCATCCATTTTACAGAGAAATACAACACACTTTTATAGTACAAAATATATATACAAATTGTGTATAGCATAAGATCGTCAAACATTTCTTAAAGTACAGGGTTTATGAACGCAAAGAGTTGCAAAAGTTCAATAATTCATTGGACCAACTGTTTTAGTGAAGGAAGGGAGATGGTTAAAATCATTCGTTCTGGTGCCCATTTCAAGGATGTGTCGTATAAGTTTAGCAAATTGCTATGAAAGATTGCCAGGTTATTGTTAGAAAACTTTTTGAATATGTTAGCAATTATCCCAGACAGATTCATCAGGTCAGAGAGACCAAGTCACCATTCTCATACTGATAAAAGATACCCTGATCCACCCATCTGATTACCAAGATTTGGCCATTTCACAAATGGCCCTTTCTGCATGGTAATAATAATGAATAAAAAATTCTTGTAGCTTTTGTGAACAGAATGGCACGCGGCATGTCACGTGACATATATTTGGAGTTTACCATAAGAAATATAGATTGTACAATTGACGGAAAACAATTTGTATCCGCAACTCCTTTTACAACACTGAATGAATGAATTTTAAATCTTTATTACAAAGTGCCTTTAACAACTACTGTCTTATTTTCATAGGAAAGATATTTGCTCCTTTGTGGCACCTGATCCTAATTGTGATGTTTTTGTAGGTCTCTGCTTGCTCTGCTCCCGATCTGTACTTTTTAAATGGACTTTGATCTTAAATACTGTTTGATATATCCACATTTCATTGGTTTCCCATAGCATGGACGTTGCCATTTTTTATTCAATACTGGCAGTATCCATCTCATTTTCCACAAAATCTTTATTACATAAGTACTCCCAGTTTACATTTTGAACAAACAGATATTTGGGGTTTCCCATAGCAAAATATAGACTCTGTAATAAATTGCATCAGAAGGGGGTATCAAATAGTAAATGAAATTTCTCCTAAACCCCTTCATGGCATTTCACAGTATCTCATTTATGTACTGCTAAGACATGCATCTTAAGGTTATACTCAAGTAGAAGAGGAGACTGGAGTTTATTTTGTGAAATTAGGTCTCAGTACTTGTTTTTTTTTCAATTGTTTGTTGTACTTATAGGTGACATTTACATATTTTTTTCAGCATCTGTATTAAAACTAAGATTCATACCATGTGGGAGAATTATTTACTGAAGCATGGTTCACATCTTATGGTCAAGATCTAGTAAATTAAAGGTGATTATAGATTTATCAAATTTGAGGAATAAATTCCTTTAATGTTGTTTTATAGGTTTAGCTTGGTCAAATCAGGAGTTTCGGGGCATAATTTGTAGATAAGCAAGATGAAAAATCATATTTTTTAAACAGTCATTTTCAATGAAAAATTAAGAAAACTACAAATGAATATAAGACTTTTTTTCATGATGAGACAAAGGAAATGTATCCAGATTGCCTACTGATACTTTTGTATGTTTTTGACTTCTTCTTTAAAATGAGATCAAATTTAATATAGGTATCAGGATAACTTTTCATATAATTTCAAATTAAATTTGCAATACCTGTAACCAGTGCTGTGCTGGTTCCCAGCACGCTGTACACACATCACCAGCAGCGTACACATCTACCTCCGAGGTCCTCATTTTATCATCCACACAAATACCACCGTCCTCTGCCAGGGAAAACTGTTCTAACAATTCAATAGATGTCACAGAAACTTCAGTTAATATTATCATTCAGATATGGAAGAATTAGATATACATCCAGAGAGGAAACGTGCCTGATGTTTGCCATGTGTATCATTTGTATTTTATCAATTAACAATATTCATTTTGATATCGTACATTGACTCCTTACATCCTACTGAACTCAAAGTAAAGTAAAAACAACAACAGCAAAGCAAGAGTCTGACAAGACTAACATCTAAACATGACTATGCATAGATACTGCCCACTAGGTCTCACAAATATCATCACTGTTTTTGTTAATAAATTAATATGTTTTTGTTTTTGTAGACATAAGAGTTGCCAATAAGGAAAGTTGTCTTTGTATGGCTTGTAATATTAAACTGGTGCTTCTATACCTATATATGTGTTGTTATTAATTATATCCCCTGCTTTGAAAGCACAGGGTATATAGTGATTGGGATGTCCATCTATCTATGCATCCATCTGTCTGTCTGTACATCTGTTACACTTTGGGGTACTCATCTCTTATCTGCAACTCCTCTTTTACCAATGAATAAACTTTAATGAAACTTTCACAGAATCTCTGTTTCAAAGTGCTGTTATGCACCATCTATTTTACTTTTTGATCAGACACATATTTTGGGTTTCCCATAGCAAAACATGGACACTGTCATTCTTTCTATAATTTTGATTGATTGATTGTATGTTGTTTAATGTCCCTATTGAGAATTTTTTCACGCATACGGAGACGCCACCACTTGTCGGTGGAGAGCTGCAAATTTTGTTCTATACTCAGGGCCATTGGGCAGGGAGGGATCTTTTTCATGCCAACACCTACTGCGACTTGGCACCTCGGTTTATACGGTCTCATCCGAAGGACTGGTCTCCGTGTCCCACAGAGGGATTTGAACCCGTGACGTAAGGATCAACTCCTTACTTTGTGACTTTAGAGCAGAGACTCTAACCACTGCGCTACATGGGCGACTCTTTAATATTGAAGGATATTCATCTCCTATATAAATAAAATTTAATGATACTTTCACAGACTTTATGTTATATATTGCCATTGTGCCCCTCCTATAATACGTTTTGATCTGACACTTATATTCTGTCTCCCAGGGTAAAACATAGACTTTGACAATCACATTACAATCGCATGGGAGACGGGGGTATCAATTAGTGAGCTCATTGCTCACAGTACCTCTAGTTTTATAAATTATTTATGAATGTTTGAGTAGAAACAAATAGGAACATATTAACATCATTAACATGACTAAGATGGCTAAGGTTAAAACTTCAATCTTATTAATGTAAGCTCACTTCATGGATGTTATCACTAATAAAGCTTCTCTCTTGTTAATGTAAGCTCACTACATAGTTTTACATGTATCACAATTATAGCTTCAATCTTATTAATGAAAGCTCACTATTTTGTTGTTTTAAACAATAAAATGCTTTCTTTGTTTGTTATTACTGGAATTAACGGAAGCAGCTGTTGCAGAAAAAATACATAACCCGCGTAAGCGGGTTATGTAAATTTTTTCTGCAATAACTGCAACCGTTAATTCCAGTAATAACAAACAAAGAAAGCATTTTATTGTTTATATTTATATCTGTTTAAATAATCATTTAAAGTAGGATTAAAAAGATTAATTATTGTATTAATGATGCGAACGTCTTTATATGTTTCATTGATGGAACAGCCACTGATCAAGAAATCTGTACAGGCGACATGCCTAATGTAGTTCATGCAGTGATTAATGCAATGGGTTTTCTTAAGAAATAAAGGAGAAAATATTCAGTGGATGTAAACATATCACAATTAAGCTTCAACTGTAATAATCAAATCTCACCTCATGGTTAATATTTCATTAATTTCTTTTTTCTGATGTCTTACCTGATTTCCAGCTAAGAATTGGGAGGTATTAGGGATAACTCCCGTGGCACTGACCAAAAAATCACAGCCATATACTTTGTCATTAGTCAGCTCTATGTAAATAGGCCAGGAATCTAAAAAACATAATCAACAATATTAATCACATATCAATGACCAGAAACACTAAAATATCACAGCCATACATTTTATCAATAGTAAAATCTATTTAGATAGGCAAGGCATCTAAAAATGTAATTAAACAATATAGCTATCAAACGTCAATGACTGGAAACAGAGGATAAGTCTACTTAGTAACAGGTACCCACCCTGATCTACATTTCCAGAGAGGTCTGTGGACCGTTTGCCCGATTCCTGGAATTCCTCCCTCGTATACACCCTCCTGACTTCTACACACTTCTCTACAGTCACACAATGGGAAATCTGTCCAAAAGCAATAGAGCAAATTGTGTCAAACTTTTATGTAAAATCAAGAAGAGAAATTGGTTTGCAATATTATGTTCTTTTATTTCAAGGGAATTTGGGAAGAAAGGGGAGGCATTAAAATTATTATGGTATAGTGAGACATTTTTGATTTCTATCTTGTCTAGATTAATATTAGTCACTCAGCATAGATCAAGTTATTCATCATAGATCATGTTCACCGGTAAATGAAATGTTGATATAAATTTTGCTGTTCATGAACTTTGTACCATCAGTTGAAAGTGTATGTTTCTTTTTTTATTTTTTGTTGTTTTATGTTTGCTTTTGTTTGTTTTGTCTCTCTTTTGTTTCCCCCCTGCTATTCTGCCACAGCTCCTGCTTGATTTAAGTCTTCTCCATTGAGAAATTCACTCCAATCTAAATTAAACACTGTCCACCTACTTCCTGTGTGCCAGTCATGGATAGATCTGCTGACCAATCAGGACCAAGAGCTCCGCCCAGGGGCGTGTCCTTTGTGCTCAGACTCCTGACATCTGAAATAAGCATATCACTTACATCTATATCATCAATTAGTCAAGAAATTGTCTCACTTTGTATGAAAATTACAAAAAAATTACACTTTAAGATAGAAAGGTCAATAACTGATATATTATACAACAGAGAGTTCTCTTGATTGTATAAGATGCCATAACCTGTACCTTCTAACCGGAAATCTTAAATACAGAACACTCATGAAGTAATGCTAACTTCATGCATCTCATTTCCTTTCTTCTTGTTATCTAACTATCAAATTTCAAATATTTTGTTTTATAGAACTTGACTCATTAGCAAGATATATCCATCTCGCATCTCTTAGATAACCCACTAACCGGGAGTTTCCAACGATGGATATATCTTACTGGAATCATTTTTCACCAAATCCCAGCAGTGTTTATACCAATAAATAACTTGCCTTGAACAGTGTACTTGAGTCTTTTGGATGGTTTTTCTTCTCTGGCCTCTTTCTTTTTGTTAATCTCTGCCATGAAGAACTCCCCTGCCCCAGGGTCTACAAATGTATTGCTGATGGACTTGTCCTTGATAGCCCAAACTACTTCACAGCCCTCTATCTCGTAACTGCCCAAAATACCAATTCATTCATAATTAGATCATCAGAGTGTGTACTACTGTATTTGAAGACTATTATATGTCTCCTTCTTTAAGTTTCATTTCTCTAACTTAAAAGTACAGTACATGTATATTGAAAACACTGGAGGCTTCAAGCTTTGATACTTATTGAGATGGTTTTGTTATAGCTAGCTTTTAAATATCAATAATTGAAGATCAATTTTTCCACTCGAAATCTGGTGCAGAGACCTCTCTCAATTTGCAGTAAGGGTGCTTACATCATTTTGGTGAAAACAGGGAAGGGAGATGAGTGGAATTCTTTACAGCTCCAAGCAGTTTACAATGAACATGAACTTGCTTCAAATATATATGTTTTCTTTTAATGATTTTTGATATTAACTTACACAAGTTCTGTAGCTATACCTCCATTACCCAGCACCATTACTCTTCTAGCTGTAGATAGTCTCTTCTGAAATTCCTGTCAACAGAGAAAAAAATCAATTTATAATTTCATGGAGTTCATCTCTTCAGGAAATTATAGTTTAGCTTCTGAAAGAAAAGCTACATGTTTTATTCAGAAAATCATAGTTAAGCTACTGAAAGAAAAGCTACATGTTTGATTCAGAAAATTAAAGTTTAGCTTCTGAAAGAAAAGCTATATGTTTGATTCAAGAAATCATAGTTTAGTTATTGAAAGAAAAGGTACATGTTTGATTCAGAAAATTAAAGTTTAGCTTCTGAAAGAAAAGCTATATGTTTGATTCAAGAAATCATAGTTTAGCTACTGAAAGAAAAGCTACGTTTGATTCAGAAAATTATAGTTTAGCTGCTGTACGAGGGCTGTTCAATAAATAATATCCTGGGTGCTCGGAAAGAAACATAAAATAAAACACATGTCCGTAACATTTTTATCCAATTTCTTATTGTTTTTAGAATACATTTTTGATTATGGCCCTTCGTATACTGGAATATGGCAGATCCTATGATTTCCTTGACTTGTTTCTTCTTTCTGAAAGGTGTGTTTTCAAGTTTGGAAATGAAGCAAGTCAAAGGTTGAAAGATCTACCGAATGTTATTGGTGTGACAAAACATTAACTTCCTGTTGATCCCCAAAACTACTTTACTCTTCATGGTGTGTGGGTTTGGATGCTGTCATGAAGAAATTTATTGTTAGTAGTGGATTCCTGATTCTGGTACCATCCTAGCTCTCATAAACCTTTTTTTTTTGCAAAAATTTGCTTTCTAGACTTCTACAAAAATTGAACTGTCTCCCCAAATAACAATTTGAGCAACAAGCCTACTTATATTTAAGACAATAGTAAATAAAACTGTTATTGTGCTTTTGCAAATTCTTTGCTCTTCTCAGACCTTGGAATGGATGTTTTTGTCAAATGCATTTTATTGTAAATTTGTTTTGAGGGTTTAAAGCAATGGATTCAAGTTTTACTATCTGTTTGAATTTCAGACAAACGTGGATAACTTAAATTTTTGATTTTTAAAATAATTGTTTAGATGTTCTTACATGCTGTCGTTTTCACAAATTTTTCAAAACACAGATTGACCATTGAGTACTAAGCTTTTTTTTTTTTACTGTAAGATGGTTTTTTAAAACAGTATAAAATATCCCCAAAATGATGCTTATAAATTTTGCTATGTGTCTTAAAGTCAATCAAACATCATCAAAGATAATTTGTTGAATTTTGGCAAACAGTACATTGGTTGTTGTTGGTCGCCAAGGATGGCAACCATTTTTGATGCCCATTATATCATTTTTGTTCATTAGGTCTTACAGTCCAGGTTTTTGTATAAATTGGGTTTTCAAAATGCACTTCACAATTTGTTAGGTGAGCAAAAGAAGGCAAGTACACGAGATTTAAATACACAATAACCAAATAATAATAATGATGATGATGATAATATTAAAATAAAAACAGAAAAATGCATGTACATGTAATTAAAATTGCTCGTTTTTAGTGTTAAGGATTGATTCCATCCTGAAAATTATATGCATATTTTCGCCCCGGCTTTGATTGGCAGTCATGATGCAATACACATGTTCCCTATGAGTTGCAAATAACGTACACACATATAACCCCTCAAGTTTTCCGCTAAGCATTTTTATTTATGATAACTATATTTTTGCATAGCATAACTTTTACGCTGACTTATTCTGATCATCTTTTAGCAGTTTAGTATCACTTACAATATACTCAGTAAATTACTCCTATCATTTGGTACTGTATTTAATTTGTCCTCAGACATTACATATTACAACATCAGAAATCAGACTGAAATTTAATTATAAAACATATGTATGGGGTTTACATACAATAGCATGCACTTTGTATTATTAATCTACTTGATTCGTACAGACTTGAAGTTATCTGCAGAGAATTTAAATGGGAAACAATGCAACATTGCCTTTGTGGGGTAACTTACGTCATAATCAAATGTACACAAAACAACCGCTCGAATCGTCAAAATTGTGTACCAAAATTGATGACAAAAGCAAACCCGCGACCTACCTTAATCACAGCCTTATTATTTTCATTTCAATGATAACACATTACACATAGTGTAATTGATACTTTTGACAATATCATACTTCTTGTGAAATTAATATTCAGGATTTATTCATTGAAAATTATAAATAGTCAGCTCTTCTGTCAATATCAATAATCAGCATCTTTAATGTACATAACATAGAGAAAATCAATCCTGTAGGAGGAAGAACATGCAAAAGCATTTATATAATAAAGAAATAAGCATAGTTCATTTGTTATATGATGTGATCAAGCAGTTTGCTCATGTGATTAGCAAATAAACCAACTATTTCACTGGCATTCCTTACAGCTGGGGTGGGAGGCTAAGCCCCTCAGTTTATGCAAAGATCAACCTAATATAGGCATTGAAAACTGAGGTTTACCCCCCCCCCCCTTACACATACACAGAAACACTTTCACATTGCTTCAGATCACTATGTTTTATAATCACTATGAAACTAAAACATAGGTAATCAAAGGCTGCAATGCTCATCTTGATAAATATGCAAGCTGTATGTGAAAGCAATTCTGATTAACAATTGTATATCCTTGTAGTTTGTACTATGAACTAGATGCAACAACCTACAAGTTTGATCTGTGCAAGTCTTCATTATTTCTTGGAAATGTTCTAAAACTTTCAACTGATTCAATCATCTTCATTATCAACTCTAGTCCACGAAGGTTATTAAAAATGATTACTGGGAAAGTTTAGTTGTTGATATAGAAAAAGAATATTCTAGGAATGCACCATTAGTACATGTAAAATTATGAGTCAACAAAAATATATGGTGATAAAATTTGAAAAAAGGTGCACTTTTTTTGGACAATAAATAAAGACTTTTTCACTGTAGCAGGCTACATGTAGCTCTCAACCAGTCACCCATCTTAATTTTTGGGACTAGAAAGCTACAGATCTGCAGCTAAAGTTGAATTTTCTTTTTAGCACAAAATGTTGCCTACTTTCTTAAATCTTTTACAATTAATACATGTATAAAAATATAAAAATTACAGCTTTCAAAGTAATAATAATAAAAACAACCCAATAACCTGACATTTATATTGATGATCTAGAACAATACTTTCTAGTTTGTCACCTTTAGACATTGTTAGGTATTGGAGGACATTTTAAGGTGCTAATACAACACAAGATAGTTCACCATTCCATGCATACAATCCAGTTCTGTCCATCTGTTAATTACATACCTGTACACTTTCTGTGTCACGAATCCCTAGGATATATGGACTGCTGTCTAGAATAAGCTGCAAAATAGCAAAAGATCTAGTTAAGACTTGTTAATACTAAAACAATTAATCTTTATTGCGAGATATACATGTACAAACTTATTATTAAAAAACAGCAGTTTCTAATGAGACTGTAGCTCTACTGGCTTGTTTAAACAAAAAAGAGAAAAGTACCATTTGAACATAAAACTATGCAACAGCAATAAAAAGAATAATGGTCCTTGATATAATTGCTTTGTCACAAGAATTGCAATCAGATTAAAACTTTTGGAGAAGTATTTTTTTGAAACATTTTTTTAGTAACCATGTCAACACTGTTTATCAAAATAAAAAAAATTATGTGTTTAAGTGTAGACTACTTGTAAGACTAAGTGTAGACTACTTTGAAATTGGATCAAACTGTAGGATGATTAGTGTTTTTAAAGAAATATGTACAGAAATTTCTATTTTTAGTAACCATGACAACACTGTCAATCAAAATTAAAAACTGATGCACTTATTTAAGTATCTTAATGTGTAGTCTATTTGTGTGCCAAGTCATATTAAAATTAGACCAAAGCTGTAGGAGAAGTAGCATTTTAAAGGAATTTCACAAAATTTCTATTCTTAGTAACCAAGGCAACACCGTTCCTCATAATCAAAAAACCAAAAGACAAAATTATGTATCTTGGTGTAGTCTCCTTGTGTCCAAGTTATATTGATATCAGACCAAAACTGTAGAAGGAGTAGCATTTTGAAAAATTGTTTACCAACAGACTGAAGGACAGTTAAACAGACAGAGGGATGGATGGAGGATGGCTTACCATCACATAAGCTCTTCTGGTC